GCTTCGGAGACAGAGGCTTTATAATTTCCCCCATTTTTTGTTTTTCTAATCAGTGGGGTTCAGAACTATGAGATAGAGACTGCTTATTATTTTAAAAAAGCAATTTGGAGTATACATATGTAAATTTCTCTGTGAACCTCTATATCCATGGATGAATCTGAGATAGCCTATTTCTCTATTTATATATATCTTAGTATAGCTCATAGCTAACAGAATTTTAGAGGTAGAAGTTACCTTAGAAATGTTTAAATATTTAGACATTTCTAAGTGTCTAATAGTCCACTCCCCTTGTTCTATTTTTCTCCCTTCTTTTATAAATGAGGAAATTCCAACTAAGGATGTTAAGAAACTTACCCAAAGTCACAGAACTAGTTAGTAGAAGCAGAGCTGGGACTAGAACTCAAGTCTGGGCCTACCTCGATGTATTTCTATGTCTCTCTCAGTGTCCACATTTCTGTCTTTTTATGTGTATGTCTCCACGTTGTCTTGAGTTTTGTGAGACTTTTCCCCATTTGTCTTTAGTTGACTATATATGTTTGCCATTGAGAAAACATCCTAAATCTCCTTAGTTATTTTTTGCCCATCTCTCTCTAGCACTTTAGCCCTGTGTGTCTGTCTCTGGCATTCTCTTCGTGTTTCTGCTGTGTTTCTCAGAGAGAGAGAGAGAGAGAGAGAGAGAGAGTGTGTGTGTTTGTGTGCACGCACACGTGTATGTGGCTTCTACACTGTTGGGAAGAGCATGTGTTACATTCCATCTGTAGCGCTGATTAGCTTCCTAATTGAAAGATGATCAAGTACAAATATATATAATTAACTTTGAACTGATGAGTGATTTTAGAAATTGCATGGCAAATTGGTCTGGGAATGGCTTGGAGCTGCCTTGACTTCCCACAGGGGAGGCCCAGGAAGCAACAGCTGTCTGCCAGGAGTTGCGTTCCTCCCTCTACTGCTTTACCACTCTTCTATTCTCCATCTCCCCAGCCCTTCTGTGGGGTTTCTGCAACCTCCTGGCTCTGAGCAGTACCAGATGCCTCAGTCTCCCTCTCCCTGCAGTCCACCACAGATGCCACAGCAGTACTCAGGTAAGAGGATAAAGAATTGAGGGGTCTTGGGCACTGGTGAGAGCAAACACTGCTGAGGACTTGTGCTTTAGAGCTGGGAAGGACAAAGAGAGTTCAGGGATTGGCTCTGTCCCCAACTGTGACCCCATCATGAGGGAAGACCAAAGTCCTAGCTGGCTGGTGTTTTCCAGAGGTGCTGAAATTGACCCCTCAAGAAGTGAGGTTGGTTGCCTGATCCCTATCCCTGGGGAGTCACATGTCGATTGAGTTCCTTGTTTTCTCTCCCTCTCCCTCTCCCTCTTTGCTGAATCCAGCACTACACTCACCACTCACATGCCTTTGAGACACAGAGTGCTTACTTCTGTCTGTTGCACTCATTCTTCATGTAAACAGCTTTGCTTTTCTCTTGGGAGTGTGAAGGAGGCTGATAAAATGCTTTTAAAATCATATCTTAGATTTGTTTAGTGGTTTTTCATATGTGCTCGCATACACCGTGTCATTTTCCTTCTCACCACAACTTAGTGAAGAGGAAATTTAAGGCTCAAAGAAAATAAATGACTTGCCTAAGATCACAGTCCTAGAGCTTGAACTTGGATCTTTTCACTTTCTGTAACCCATGCTACATCCTCAGTAACACATTTTCAACAGGTTTCTGTACTCTATTCCTTTCCCTCCAGTAGGAAATAAATGGATATCATGTTAAATAGCTAAAGGCCTTCTTTGGAGGAGCCAGTTATACCAGGTGAATAGACTTATGCCTTTCAGCCTCTCACTATCTGTCTTTGCCAAGAACTCCCCCAATACACCAAGTACAACTGCTCCTGTTTGTTTCCCTTTCACCCAACCCTGACATATCATTACGCTGTAGTTAAGTAGACTTCATGGGTTCTGGAGGCGAGGAGGTTAAGGTAGCCTCCAGCCATCCCCATGCAGCTCTATTGTGGGAATGTCAGGGTTCCCTCTTCTGGTGAGAAGGAGGTATTTTGCCAATTTTTCTCATTTTAGAAATGGAATATTTTTCACATAAGATTTTCTGTACTCTATGTTAGGTGCTCTGGAGTAGATTCCAGAATTAAGCTTGCTCACAAGACATGATTAGTTCTTACCTTCAATGTAATGACTTCTTCCTTTATCCAGACCAACCATGGATCTCTTACAGGATGAGGTTTTAAAATTCACCAACCTTTACTACCCTTTATTACATTATTGGTCTCTCTAGCTGTTTCTCCTAGTGTCTGCCAGGGGCACTTGACCTTGAAATTCCCAGCGGGGTATGGAAATTATAGAAATCAACTCCAAGAACTGCTGTAGCCTGTGGTGGTGCTTGGCACCTCAGGGCATTTTCTCTCCTGTTTGTTAAAATAAGTGTGTGCGTATGCATATGGGTATACTTGTATGTGAATTTTTGTATATATCTTTAGTGGTATATCAGTATATCTGTTGGGTCTCCGCAGTTATGTCTCTTCATCTGCAAATACAAGATGAATTAGAAACAAATTAAGTGAAAATAATTTTTCAGTACCTACTCTGGACCTAGTGCTGGGTTAATTAAGTAAAATGAAACAGCTATTGTTCTGAAAGTTGGCAGCACTAGAGATCTGGACTGGGATTGGAAGGAGATAATCTAGGCTCTTCCCAAATTAATAGAAATAGACAAAACCCTCTCCATCATCTAATTTCCTTGCTGCTTTAGAATTTTCTGTTTTATTTCCTTTCCTTCTGGCTACCCTGATTGACCCTAGGCTTCTGACTGACCCCTTGTACTTTTCCTAGATGATGGGACCCTCTCTTCCACCCACATCATTTAAGAGACCTATTCACCATAGCATCAATCTTAAAAGTCTTCAGTCCCTGCTCATGGGAATCTAAGAGGAAGTGGAAGAAAAGAAAAAGTGCTTCTTACACCTTCCTTTCCAGTTTTCCCTTTACTGGAAAGATAGAAGGCTTGCACTCCCCACAAGGGCTGCTATGTCACCTTCAGAGGACAGTCACCCACCCTTCTCCTATGTAGCAACATGGTCACTTTTCCAAAAATAAAGGTAGGGATTAGGATTGGCTGTTCCTAGAGCAATTGTTCCAGTTTATTAATACATTTTTGTAGTTGCCCAGTTTACCCCCAGGCCTGGACGTTAATTCCTCCACTATGATATTAGATATAACCATAACCTCAGGAAATATTTTCTTCCCACTAAAATAGTGACTTGCAGGTCCCTTGAGGTTTCTACAGGGATGCTTGTCTGGGGAAGAGGCACACAGACATGAAATGGCAGTGAAACCTATGCACAGACTCTCAACTCACAGTGACACAGCAGCACGGCCAGAGTGAGGTACATACAGAAATAGCTTCTCACCTATTTACTGGCTCATTTTGTAGCTGAGGGCTTTCCAAAGCTGAGACTAACTCTTTTCAATCCCCACTCCCTGAAGATAACCCTCTCCCCAACCTAAAAAATGGAAAACTACAAAGATACTGTAGGATTCTGTCCTGTAATTTGGGAAAGATGCCTGTGAGATTTTATTTCTCTGGACATTCCTTTCCATAGATTTGATTTCAGATGGTAAGGAAGAAGCCTTATCCGTTTTCTACCTCAGCGATTTAAAAAAAAAAGCAAAAACTAAACAAAAGCAATTCTGCCAGACATAAATGTCATCTGTTTATATTTATGCGGTTTGCTCTGCCCAATCGACCTTTCTGCCCAGGTTTAATGATGCCACTTAAAAAGCCATTCACACGTTCCTCTCCTTTCAGAGCTTTCAAGCTGAAATTGATTTCCTTATTCAACTCCTTTCTCCCCCCTTCCCACTCCAACCCAGGCTCCTTCCCCCAATGTGATTATGTGGAAGTGCTGTCACTGGGCAATGCCGTGGGGGGTTTTCGTTTTGGGGGATTTGGGGTTTTTTTTGCCACGTGCATTAAGAAGTAGCCACAGTTCAGCTGCTAATGGATGCCACCAGCTTCTGGCTTGAGGAAGAGAAGCGTAAAAGTCATCTCATCAGCAGAGTAGTGCTCTCTGTCCTCAGCTGAATGAAGGTACAACATTCCAGGCCAGCGGGAGAGGACTCAGTGAGGGGAGGAGCTCAGGAATGAGGCTGCAACTGGGAACCCTGCCTTTGTTTTCCTTGCGATAAGAGAAAATAATATGAGGACTTTGTTCTCTTTCCCCCTCCACTTTAGCCCCCTAGTAGCTCCTTACGGCTACACGTTGGTATTAGAAAGAACTTCTACTGCCTTGCTTATGCCCACACCCTACATACTTACACATCCTCTACCTTTTCCTGGCCCAGGGCAGTAGGCTCAGGTTATAAGCTGCCTTCCAGAAAAGCTATACATTTGATTATTTTTACGTTGGCCCCCTCAGGTAGCAGTGAGTTGCCTGAATAAGATCAGTTGCAGTTTTGTGGGTAAAGAACATCGGAGCAGGTGCAGCTCTTAGGGTGGGGAAATACAATGCCCAGAGCAACTATAGTAAAAAGGGAGTTGTTAAATGCATGACACTTCACAACTGTACAATTTTCCTGTGGCCCTTTTAAAGCCATGCTGATGAATACCCTGTCCTCTTTGGCAGGGGAAGGGGAGAGGTGAGCCTGTCGAGCCTGTCGCTCTGAGTATTTGTGCTGTCTGATTACATGAGCCCTAGAGGATGGGGGTGGGCACAAAGTGGGGAATAGGGTACAACAGATGCTGTGTCTCCTGAGCTGTTCTTTCAGACCTCCCACTGTTTCTTTTCCTTTCCTTTGACCGATGCTACCTGAGAAAAGCAGTCACGCTCACTTCCCAGCATGACTGGTGCCCAGGGCAGAGGCTGCAACATTTCCCAGCACAGGAAGCAGTGCGATGGCGGCAGCAGTGGCAGCCCCAGAGCACTGAGCCATGCAGGCAGCAGCATTGCAGCAGGTTTTCGAGCTAGCGACCCTCAGTTGCATTTCTCTACCACCAGACACACACATGAACTCAGCCTGTCCATCCACAGAAATATGGTCTGGGGGGTCAAGAGCAAAGCCTCATGCTGGACAGTCCCCTGTGGGGCAGCAGAGCTCCTGCTCACCTCTCCCAGCAGAAACTGTCTGTCAGACTGCTTCTCCCTGACCCCTTACCTTGCTTTTCACCATGAGGAAGATTCAGAACTTAATGTTACTCCTCATTGAGCCCTTTCCTTCCCCCAGACTGTGAGAGGGTAAGACTATATCTATGGTTGCCTGGGCTAAAACCTCAGGGCTGTATCCAGTCAGTCACCTTGAACCTGTCAGTAAAACCTTCAGAGAGTCTCACCCTCCCATTCCATTTCTGCTGTCACTGCTCTAATTCATAATCACTTTGTTTTGTTTCAGTAGCCTCCTAACTAGTCTTCTGGTCACTAGTCTCTCCCTCCCTTTAGCCATCTTACATCTTTACATCTTACATCTTTAGCTGGCCACTTGGGTTAGCTCTCTGAAACACAAGTCCTGTTCCCAACACCTACGGGATACAACCCTTACCAGAATGTGCTTCAACCTCTGACACCAGCTATTTGTTTAATGTCTGACTCCCTAATAGACTGTTCATTCCATGGAGGTAGAGACCAGTCTTGTTTGTTTGTTTGTTTGTTTGTTGTATACCCAGTGCCCAGCATAGGAACTGGCACATAGACAAATGTTCAATAAACATTTGTTGAATAAATGTATCTCATCTCCTCCTACTTCCCCTACATAGCCCCTGTGCCTTAGCACCTTGAATTATTTGTCATTTCCTGAGTATGACATACATCTCTATGCCATTCCCTCTACTTGAAATGTTACCGATTCACCCAACCCTTGCCCATTATATCCTGGATCTGGCTTAGTGCAGCTGTGCACATTTATCTTCTCCAGAACAACCAGAGATCTCTGAGTTATCTTCAGCCATTACCAGAAAAGCCTGCACGTGCCCGCAGCCCTGGCCCAAGCCTATGCCCAGACATTTGAGCAGAGTCTGACCTGGGCACTTGGTAATAAGCGACTTTGACAGAAATGAAGCAGTTTTCTGCCAAGCCTGCCAAAGTACCCACCAGCTGAAGCCAGGAGGGCACTGGCATCTTCCACTCAAACTTCCGCTGGTTCGAAGTTTCCACTGGTCTGAGAGAGAGTCAGAGACCAAATCAGCAACTATCTCAGACTCCTGGCAGGACACAGTTTAAGTGACCCTGAAGGCAGTAGGTGGATTTGCTTACTGGCTTTCCCACTTAGGGTTAGCTGACAGGCCTAAAATGTACTTTGAATGCACAACCAACTGCTTTTTTCCTGCCACCCAGGAGTGTCACCTTCTGGACCAGGTGTGGTGGTCATGCAGCTGAATGTCCCTAATGGGCCCCAGCCCCCCCAGAACCCATCCATGGTCCAGTGGAGTCACTGTAAATATTACAGCATGGACCAGCGGGGGCAGAAACCTGGAGACCTGTACAGTCCTGACAGCAGCCCCCAGGTGAGTCCCTGCAACCCAGCTTTGTCTTAGCAGGGAGGTAACCAGATTCTTCTCAGGAAGTAATCTTTGCCATTGACTGAGCCACCTCTGTTACTTGTCTTTCCCTGGGCACTTTTTGGGAAGAAACACAAGAAATAGAGGAGAGCATCTTCTTTCAAGGAACCTAAGATTTAAGGTAGCAGATGGGACACATGCTTGAAAATGCTAAGGGAATACTTAAAACAGTATGTCAAAAAGTGGATGTTAAAATAATACAAACTGGGCTTCCCTGGTGGCACAGTGGTTAAGAATCCGCCTGCCAGTGCAGGGGACACGGGTTCGAGCCCTGGTCCAGGAAGATCCCACATGCCACGGAGCAACTAAGCCTGTGCGCCACAACTACTGAGCCTGCGCTCTAGAGCCTGTGAGCCACAACTACGGAGCACACGTGCCACAACTCCTGAAGCCTACACGCCTAGAGCCCCCGCCATGAGAAGCCTGTACACCGCAACGAAGAGTAGCCCCCACTCGCTGCAACTAGAGAAAGCCCGCGCGCAGCAGTGAAGACCCAACGCAGCCAAAAATAAAATAAATTTTAAAATAATAATAACACAAACTAATTAGGGACTAAGGGGCTAGTTTGAGGGAGCAGTCTTACTTTGACAGAGTTCAGCAAGAGAATTTTCCTGAGAGAGGTGACTTTTTTTGTTGTTTTGAGAGAGGTGACTTTTCTTTGTGTGTGTGTGGTACACGGGCCTCTCACTGTGTGGCCTCTCCGGTTGCGGAGCACAGGCTCGGGACGCGCAGGCTCAGCGGCCATGGCTCACGGGCCCAGCCGCTCCGCGGCATGTGGGATCTTCCCAGACCGGGGCACGAACCCGTGTCCCCTGCATCGGCAGGCGGACTCTCAACCACCGCGCCACCAGGGAAGCCCATGAGAGAGCTGACTTTTAAGCCAAGCCATAGGAATATCCAGAGGGTAATGTTTGGTGTATGTATGATGTGTACTCCTCTCTCTCCCACAGGCCAACACACAAATGAGCAGCAGCCCTGTCACATCTCCTACTCAGTCTCCAGCACCCTCCCCTGTCACCAGCCTCAGCAACGTCTGCACAGGACTCAGTCCCCTTCCTGTCCTCACACAGTTCCCCCGTCCTGGGGGTCCAGCACAGGGTAAGGGGTTAGATAAGGGCTGGTTGCTGTCAAATTCACCGTTCGCATCCCATTCCCAAGTGGGGAGATCGAGAGGGCAGCAACAGGCAGGGAAGCGGTGTGGCTGGTCATCCAACTCTGGCCCTGTTTAGGCCAAAGACACCTGCCCCTCTTTAGTGCTGCCCATAGTTAATTTACTCTAGATCACCGTTAGATTTTTAGTATTTACTTCCAAGTCCCTGGTGACTATGAGCCAGGGAAAAGAAGTTCACTGAACTTTCTAATGAACAACCAAGAGTTGAATCCATCAGTACTGAGTCTGAGGGTTGGGAATATGGGGTGGTGTCAGAAACAGTATTTGTCAGAAACATTATGGATTTAGAAGAGGGAATACTGGATTTGAGTTAAAAAACTTGGGTTCAAATTCTAGTTCTACAGCTAACTAGCTTTGTGATGTTGAGCATGTTACTTAAACTTAAAATGGGACCTCAGTTTCCTAATATATAAAATGAGGTTAATCACACATAAGATGGAAATAATCTTATCTGCTTTCTGCCGTGGCTATCAAAAGCAGTATAAAAATAAAATGAAAATATGGTTTAAAACTTGAGTGCTCTGAAATATAGTATTTATCACCAATAATAGGTAACACATGGTACTTAGTATGTATCAAACATTGCTATAAGTGCTTTACTTATAAGTACTTTACTTTATAGGTGCTATAAGTGTCTTATAGTCATTTAACCTCAGCAGTGCTAATGAGAGGAAAACATACCCAACATCCCATTTTCAGTAACAGCCAGGATTTGAACCTAGGCAGTCTGGCTGTAAGTTTGTGTTCTTGTCCACTGCATTGTATTGCCTCTCATGTGAGTCAGAAACTTGAGCCCTGGGTTTAAGGTGAGAAGAAACTATATGAGAAATAAAAGACAGTCATAAGGGTCTGTAGGTTTCCTCCAGGGCCTTTTGTCTTCAATGGACAGAGCCCTTCTTCAAAGGTGAAGGAACCTAATAACCCCAGCTGAGCCAAGGGGTTTAGGAAGAGAGACAACTCTTAAATCAGTGAGATGGGACTCCTATCATAGAAGAAGTAGGAATAGTATGCATTGTTGCTGTCCATCTCCAAAGCCCCATGAAGTCTCATAAAAGTCTTACCATGTAGTTCAAACTCCCAGAACACCATCTGCTCTTCCTCCCTAGGTGATGGTCACTACTCCCTCTTGGGCCAGCCATTACAGTACAATCTGTCCATCTGCCCTCCCTTGCTCCATGGCCAGTCAACTTACACGGTGCACCAGGTAAGGGTGTCTCCCATCAGCCTTAGGGCCATCAGAGTCCCCTTCTCATCCAGGCCCCTGCTTCTGAGCCATCCACCTCAACTAGCTGGGTGGACAAGAGAGACAACACAGAGAGAATGGACGAAGTGGGAAGAGCCTTTACCCCTCTCCTGTAGTCATTCCTCTCACCCCTTCCCCAGTGCCAAGAGGGAGAGGCTCTTTGTTTCTCAGTGGCCACTCTCTGGCCAATCTGACTGCCTGGTGGGATGGGGTCCTCAAGGTTGGGTACTGCTCCTTAATCTCTCAGACAGACTGGGATGTAAGGCAGTCATTGTTTACCTGGAATGAGAGTTATCTTTTGAATGTTGAAGGGACAGAGTGGATTGAAGCATGGAAACCGGAGCAAGAGGCAAGCACTCAAATCTGCCTCCACTGACCTGGGGACAACAGACGTTGGTGAGTGACAGGATGCTGAATTCCCAAAAGAAGGTGCTTAACCCCTCCAGCCTTGCATTACCAGCCCAGGATGGTGAGAAAAGCCAGCTTAGGGTAGGGAGTCAAAAGAGGACCTTTTCGTACTCAAGAGCAAGGAGAAGCTGGAGAAGTGAGGTGTCTCAGTCCTCCTTACCAAGCCATTCCAAGTCCTAGGGAAGATGAGGGTGAAAATTTGGAACAACACAATGATGGGGCTTGTTGAGCCTGCTATCAACAGACAATCTTGTGGAAGTGGTCCTGCCCCTGATCTAGGATGTCTACCTTTGGTAGTTCTAGACCCAGTTTAGGAGAGGCTTGATAAGAGAATATGGGGGAGTAGCTGTCCTCCTGCAGGCCTTCTGTACTAGGCATAACAAGATCTCTTGGGGTTTCGCCTACTGAAGCAGTTTGCTAAACAAGGTAAGGAATGGAAACTGACTTCCCTAGGTGATAAGAAAGAGGACTCTCCCTGGGCCAGCCTCTGGGAAGGGAATGGAACATATTTCAGACTGAGCTGTTAACTTTGTGAAATAACATAACCAAAAGCCACACTTCCTTCACAGTAATTGCACCCTGTGAGAGAACTGAGGTATAGGTTTCCAGATCTTAAATCTGGGATTCTGATTCCCAGTCTCCTCTTGCCTACATCTCTAGGCTAGGAGAAGAGAAAGTTTCCTTTGTGTCTCCTAGTTGCCCTGATCAGAGTCTGGATGGTAGGGAGTTGGGTTGATTTGGGGAGGGAGGAAAGGGCTAAGTGAGAAAGGCTGGGCTTTTGAGTACACTGTATACAGACTTGGTCAGCTGGATGCTCCTCTGCTGGGCTGCTGGCCAGTCCTTCCTACTCTATACCTCTTACAACCATGTCCTGTCTCCTCCCCTTCCAGTCCTGGGACGGGTGCTGGAGGTGACAGATCTCCCTGAGGGCATCACCCGTACCGAGGCGGACAAACTCTTCACTCAGCTTGCCATGTCTGGCGCCAAGATCCAGTGGCTCAAGGATGCTCAGGGGCTGCCTGGTGGGGGTGTGGGGGACAACGGTGGGACTGCTGAGAATGGCCGCCACTCGGACCTTGCTGCCTTGTACACCATCGTGGCTGTGTTCCCCAGCCCTCTGGCTGCCCAAAATGCCTCCCTTCGCCTCAACAACTCTGTGAGTCGCTTCAAACTTCGAGTGGCCAAAAAGAACTATGACCTGAGGATCCTGGAGCGAGCCAGCTCCCAATAAATGGAGGAGAAGAAAGGACCAGCATGGCAGGGGTGGGGCAGGGTAGAGGGGGTCAAGGGGTCCTGTCAGACCACAGACAGAGGCAGAAGGTAAGGTAAGGTCCACAGACAGACACTAAACTGGAGCCTAAGACAGTAGGGATGAAGATGGAAACAGAGACAGACACTCACACTGGCACTGAACTCTTTCTCACTCCCCTGCCAAGGGTCCCTCTTTTTCCCTGGTTGGCCCCATGTCTGCTTCCCTCTCCTTCCCATCCTCTTCTATGATTTTTTTTATCTCTTCTCTCACCATGAAATTAATTCTTTCATATTTTTTGGTCAGGTAGAATTGGGAGGGTCCCATACTCCCATGTTCTCCTATTTCCTTACCATCCCAAGCTCCCTTTTCTTTTTTGGTCCTTATGAATATATTTATATGGACAGAATTAAGAAAGATGAAATTGATTTCCCCTTTCTCCCACCCCATCTTATCTCCCCAAACCCCACAGAGTTAAAACTTGGGCCTCCCTCCACCCCCCAGAACACTTGTATATTGTTTGTTTGAGGTTTGTGCTGCAGTAACAGACACAGTATTTAATTGCACATACAGATGTTTGCTGGGTATATTCACTGTAAATTTTATTTAATCTGATTTTTTGTTTGTTGGGGGGTTCTTCGGGTGGGGGGGTTGATTTTGTTTTTATATATAAAAAAAAAATCTGTCACTGGACATCAGTCCGTTTTCTGTTGCCACCCTGGTATGAGTGGGGTCGGAGGGATTTGATGCGGGCTGGCTTGGCTTTCTCTGGCATATGCACTCATATCTTCCTAACACTATTCCCTGCATCCTGTCCTACTCCTTACAAATAATTCTGATAAATGGCTGGGTCTGTAATGGGACTCTGCCACTAACTGTGGTTTATCACGCACATCACTCTCAACTCTGGACCTCTGAGTTCTTACCAGTAAAATAAGAGACTTGGACTGACTAGGCGACCTCCGAGGTTCCTTCCACCCTGTTAATTCTGTGATACTCATTTAGGGCCCTGGTAGCTAAGCCAGAGGAGTGTGAGTGACGTCCAAAACTGGGTCGAGATGCTTGCTTCATACCTGTCCATCTCATATTCTGAAAACTCTTCAGGGATGGAAGACTTGGGCCTTTCTTTAATCCCAAAGCCAGAGGATTGGGTTCTACCTGGCAAAAACAGAACCGCATGTTTCTTACAATAAAAGCTACGTCAATTGAACTTGCTGTGCCAAGATGTCATACTATCCAGGTGTGCTTAGCAGTCCCTGTCCTGTGCAGCTGAAGAAAGGTGAAGAGCAGGAGTCACTTGCCTGTAAGATAATAGAGCTTTCCTCTATCTTCCCAAAGCTAGCCCTGTTGTTGTGCAGCCTGTCAGACGAGGGCCATTACACAGCCTTTTGACCCAGACCATCCAGCAGCCCCTTTTCAATGTCACCCACCCCTTAAAGAAAAAAGAACAGTAGGCAGAAGTGACATAGCACATTGCCCTAGAAATCCCTTGTGTCTGGGTAGCAGTATCTCTAGCCAGCCTCCTCTGAAGCTTGTCTGGCCCAACCTCCAGCATAATCCTTTACTTCTTACAGATACAAGGGATAAAGCAGCACGACATTACCACCTCCAAATTGCTCTGCTCTGAGATGGGAGTATCTCCTTTTTCAGCCATGTCACAGCTCAGACTAGGAAAAGGCTGCATCCCTGTGAGATAAGAATGCCAGATACCTCATTGACCCATCATATCATATGCATCAGAGGAAAGAGATGGAATCAGGGAATCAGAATGTTAAAGGAAGCTTGAGGCTTGGCCATCCTACCTCCAAGAGTGCAGTTCCCATGGGAAAGGGGACGTTACTTACAGATGATAAAAACTCCGTGTGTGACAGCTATTGCCTTCTGTCCAATATTAACAAAACAATCTGTACGTGATCATTAGACCCTCACTCCCCCAGAACCCCTCAGATGGAAGTCCCAGCCTGGCCTTTTTTAATAGCTCTTAGAATTCCTTTCACCCTGCGGACAAGATTTTAGAGGAATAGGGGAAAATATTTCTGGGGGCAGCTGGAGGGAACAAAGCAGTACTGCATGTTCTTCACTCCCTTACAGGATAGCAGCAAGGTACCCTTCTAACTGCCCATGGATAAGATAGCAATCTAGTCTGGCTGATAGGAGAGCTCTGAAAATTCAAATGTTCCTTTCTTCACCAGTTTCCAAGCCCTTTCCTTCCTAAAGCTTGGAGGCTAGATCGATGCTTGAGGGTAAAAAAAAAAAAACATGACCACAAGAAGATGGTGGCTGAGAAGTCGAAGGCTAGTTCCTAAAGTAGATCCAGGGAGGGTAGAAATGGAGAGATGTTTGGACCTTGGGAGAAGGATGGAGAAGCCTGTTTATAATTCATCTTCACCTTTAGTCTTTTAAAATCACCCACATGAAGGAATTCCCTGGCGGTCCTGTGGTTAGGACTCCGCGCTTTCACTGCCGAGGGCCCAGGTTCGATCCCTGGATGGGGAACTAAGATCCCACAAGCCACACACACAGGGTGTGACCAAAAAAAAAAAATCACCCATATGAGTATGCGGCATGTCCCTTCCTGAATTTAGCCAATTCTGACCTGCACACCATAGATGAAAAACCAGGCAACAGCAGCTCTGGGGGGATGGGAGGAGTTAGGGTCCAGCCCTCCCCGTGTCCAATTTCTCTGTGTCAGCTGTTGTCGCTCAGCTGTCCACTTTCCTCCAGCCCTGTCATTTCAGCTCTGACACCAAGGCGAGAGGCTAGGAGGTCTACAGACACCGTCTGGGTAGCTGGTGTGAGTACAGAGAGTACTGGGGGGGCTTAGCCCCCAAGGAAGAAGACCAGCCCTCCCCCAGCACCACCGTCAAGATCCCAGGGGCTCCCTCTTTCCTCCACAGGCTGTGGACTGACTTAGGGAATTCCAAACGTAAGTTGCCTCTTCATCCTCTTTCCATTTCCAGGACTGCTCACCCAAGCTTCCCCAATCCATAGTCTATTCAGCTTCTTCATTTCTCTGCTTGTCTGTGAGTAGTTTGGGTTTTAGGAGTAAAATTATTATTATTCTACTCCCGGACAAGAGCTAGGATTAGAGGGTGGGGTGGGGGTGGGATCAGGGGAATGGAGTAGTAAGGGAAGGAAAGACTCATATTACTCTGAAAACTTAAAATAGCTGAGGCCTGAGGCAGGCTGGGAACTAGGCACTGGGCCCCCAGGGCTCAAGAGAGAGAGGAGAACAAATGTCCCCAGCCCATCCCTCCTCGCATGCTTGTGGACAGACGCATTAAACCTCTTGAAAGGGGATCTGGGAAGGTGTGTGTCACATTTCTATCGCCCACAGATTCCCAAGAGAAACAAAGTACCTGTAGGAAAATCCCTAAACCACACAGCTTTGTGCACTGTCTTGGGGGTGTAAACTCGGGGGTTGCCCATCATGGTAGAAGGATGGTTATTGGTTTGAGGAACTGGTTGGGAAGGTCTTTAGTCTGTTGGGCTTTTCTCTGGACTTGCATGGAATCTTTCTGCTCATAAGCCCTATGGAAGGATCTCTGTTTGACCAAATTTCTCCCAAAGCCTCCCCTTCAAGGACCACCCCACTGCAAAGGACAGGAATATGGGAGGGAAGAATGGCAGTCAGGGATTAGATTTCACGGTGGGGTCCAACCTCTTGCAGGATGACAGAAAAGGAGGTGCTGGAGTCCTCCTCCTTCCCAGCAGAGACTCGGCAAAGTGGGGTGAGTCTGGACTTCTGACCACTGGGTGGGGGGAGCTGGGAAACCGCTGCAGCCCTTGAAGAAAAGTGCTTGAATTGATCTCACTTGTATATGACTCATTTATTGTTAAAACGCTAGCTAGCACCCACAGCCCCCGATACCCCCTAATCCTGGGGTGTGCCCCTTGCCCCAGGCTAGAAAAATGTAGTTAGCTTCAGCCTTACCTACTCTAGAAAGCAAGACAGTTCTTTTAACATTGGGTCTCCTTCACTCCCTCCCTCAGCTACAGCGGCTGAAGCAATTATTCAGGAAGGAGTCTACAGGGACAAAGGAGATGGAGCTTCCCCCAGAGCCCCAGGCCAATGGGGAGGCAGTGGGAGCTGGGGGTGGGCCCATCTACTACATCTATGAGGAAGAGGAGGAAGAAGAGGAGGAGGAGCCACCCCCAGAACCTCCTAAGCTTGTTAACGATAAGCCCCACAAATTCAAAGATCATTTCTTCAAGAAGCCCAAGTTCTGTGATGTCTGTGCCCGGATGATTGTGCGTGAGTCATGAAGGGAAGTGGAGAGTGTGATGTGGAAGGCAGGGGGTGGGGGAAAGGGTTTAGGAAAGGAGTATTTGTATATCAGACAGGCTGTGGTAAGATTTGGCTTTAAGAAAATACTATTCCAGACTGAGAGTGTTGGGTCCCAGACAGAAAAAGGACCTAAGAGCTAGACTAGCAGCAGTGGTACAAAGGGGAAGGGAAATCAGGAACCTCACCCAGATGTTCTCCCCATCTCCCAAGTCAACAACAAATTTGGGCTTCGCTGTAAGAACTGCAAAACTAACATCCATGAACACTGTCAGTCCTATGTGGAGATGCAGAGATGCTTCGGCAAGATCGTGAGTAGGCTCTGGGGAGGAAGAAAGTAGAAGGGAGGGGACGTGTTGCCAGCTACCTCCTTGCCGGTCCCTCCTCAAATCATCCCACCCATTTCCCCGCTTTTTTTTCCTCAACCCATCTCTTACTCCAAGAAGGGGTGAATACTCACGGGAGAGATGGGTTCTGGGCCCTACCTTGTTATCTCTAATGCTTTCTCCCATCCAATCCTACAGCCCCCTGGTTTCCGTCGGGCCTATAGCTCCCCTCTCTACAGCAACCAGCAGTACGCTTGTGTCAAAGATCTCTGTAAGTGCCCCATACGGGACCTGAGGGAATGGGCAAGCCTAGAGATGGTTTCAGCACAATCTCCAGATTGGGAAGCCAAATTCTGAAACAGACTCTATTTCCCATGGTTTTCGCTCAATCTAATATTTTAGCCATCTTGGATGCAGGGTCAGTATTCCCCTGTTTTATAACAGAGGGAGATAAGATTTAGCATGGGCTTTGTACAGTAAGAAAGAGACAGATAAGAAAGAGACAGAACCAAGACTGAAACCTTCATCTGCCTGACTTCAAACTCTGCTCTTCATATGCAAAACCATTTCTAAGCATGAAGCAGACTGTCCTCATCCTTGTTAGAGCATAGTGCCACACTCAGGGCCAAACCAAGAGCTGTGGGCATCCTGGGCAGATTCATAATTTGGCAACACTTAAAAGTGTATTTGTTGACAATTTGCTCAAGATTTATTTGGAGGAGAGGCTGATCTCTGTGAGGAGCATGGATGGAGAAAGAAGAACCCACTGGTGGTAGTACCCCAGCTTGCACATGCCACTCAGCGGAACAAAAGCCAGCAGTTAAAGGACCACTCTCCTTAAAAGGAAAATAGTGATTCTGAGCATTCCCCAACTCCCAAGCAACTCATTAGCAGAGTTGTCTTTCCAACATCATATAATGCTCTGCCTGGAAGGAGTGCTGGTAAATATTTTTCTCCATCACATTTCCAGTGATGTCTTTAGAGCTCTTTATAAATTGATGACCCTAGATATACCCAGCTGACACTTTGCTAATTCTAAACACACACGCACCTACTCAGTCCCATCTCTCCCTTACTTAAGA